ACTTTGTTTCTTACTCCTTAAAGCAAGTGACAGTATACTCAAAATCAATGAAAATTTAAGCATACTACAGAAATGTATGGAGTAAGTAGTATTATAAATAATTGAATACAAGAAATATTACAAAGAAAAGTTTGACATACCTGACTCAAGGAGTAAGAAACAAAGTTTGGCTCTTTTTTTTTTTACATATCACAACAGAAAATCCTAAACAAAAAGGGCTCTTGATATTTTTGCTTTGACATTCAGCAGAGACACTGAATAATACTGCATCGCTAAATCCCCTCAAAATCACAATTATATAAGCTTCGCTGAAGGGGTTTATATAATTAACCTTTGCCCTGCCCCAAAGCATGGGAGAAATTATTTCTACAATAAGGACTGCATAGATGAGTCATATTAATATTTAGTCATGCAATATACAAGTTCAACTAATTTCTTCAATATTAAATTTAAATAGGACAATTCCTGTTCAGTCTGAGATCATAGCATGTACTCCAGACCTTGGAACTGCAAATTTATTTACATATTTACCTGTATGCAAGAACAGCAAAGGTTCTGTCTCTTTGTATTAAGTTCCGAACCATGCTAACCTCTTGGGGACGAAAAAGCTGAAGAGGTAATGTTTGCCCAGGAATCAGCATTACCATAACATGGGGTAAAACTGGAATCGTTTGACAGCTATCATCATCATGGACAGTCCTTCCATGAAATTCTTCCATGTCTGATCCTAAATACTTCCATTTAAAAAAAAAAACCAACCACAATTAAATAGGAGTAATTATCAGTTTCGTTTGCAACATATAAATAACAAAACCTAAAGAGAATGCTGGAACAACTTCAGAGAAACACAGTATAAAAATATTGACACTTGATAGTAGAGCAGCTACTAGTAGTTTTGAGCAACACTACTGAAAAAGAATACACCGTGTAGTAACACAAATATCTATGTAGAGTCATGGTTGGAATCATCCAGGTCATGGTTGTCCTAAAGGTACTTTTTCCAAAAGGCAACTGGACTTTCTTGGTTTTGAAAACATTTTGCTTCTTCCATTCTAACTAACTGGTGGGGAATGGAAGAAGCTTCTTGGATGAGAAGTGAAACGTTTTCAAAAGAAAAACCAAAGAAAGTTACGTTTTGGAAAAAGCACCTTTGGGATAGTAACTGAAATACTTCATAAAACACTTGTGATTGTCTAAATGTTTACTGAAACAAATGTTAAGTGTGCCTAGCCTCATTTCTTTTCTTATTTTTTAACATTCTGGTTCACTCTCTATACAATAACCAAAATATATAGAATGTTCCAAGACAAGGAACACATTTTCATATTCAGTTCTCCTGCTTACATATTCACTTCAGTCAAAATACTGTCTGTTTAGCCGCCACAAGTCTAAATTTATTTATACTGGAAAATAAATGTTATATAAAAATAAATAAATCCGCTTGCTAACTAATAATCCTGAGCATGTGCACAAGCAAAACCGATACTTGCTAACTATAAACAAAATAGTGTGATTATAGCAGAGCACCTACAATATTAAGCTGCTAGCATTATGATTTTAGGTATGCTAATTCCAAAGAAACAGACTGTTTTTAAGTTCAATAAGCCTAGAAAAAGGCAAGCAGATATTCTATGATAGCGCTGTTTACATACCACATGAGAGGTTGGCAGGCTAGTGTCAAAATTAATGATGTTTGGCTTTTCAGCATCCGCAGCATCTTGATCTTCAACTTCCATTTCAACATCATCCTCTTCCTCACTCTCGGCTAACAAGTCCAAAAGAAGTTTAAACGTATTTTTAAAACTCATAAAAATATCATAGCTCAACATTAAAGCACAAAAATTAGTACATCTTTTTCATTTCTTTTCACTGTACTTTTTCACTATACAACAAAAACCATTTTAAGTTTCATGTATGCCCTACCATGTGGCTAGAATATCAAAAGAATGGAACACCAAGAAAATATTATTGCATGTTTAGAAATGGAGAAATATGTTAACACAAAGACAAGGCTATGCAGAGTCATTTGATCATTATTCTGTTCCTACTACAGCCCATATTTGAGAGTGATTTTTGAACTTTGAAAAATTGTTTCAGTAGAGCTAAGATACTAAGCTCAGAACTGTTCACAATTATCACTATTTCTTACATATTTCATCAACATGCCTCAGTTTTTATTTCATGCATAGCGTTAAGTAAAAAAAATTTTTTACTTCTATTCTATTTGTACATTCTATTTAACCAGTGGTTCCCAACATGGGGCCCACACTCCTCAGGGGGGCAATTTGAACCTTGTTAATGGCCTTTTAGACTTCTTCTGCGGAGTAGAGTTCACTTTTTGAGTAGAACAACAAGGAAAGAAAGTAGTTGATGAACTTGCACTGTATATTGGCTGAGGAATTAAAAGCTTCTGGGGAAGGATGACTCATTTCACTGCAGTTACACCATGGAAAAACACCCCAAGAGACTTCAATCTCCTTTCAGTAATATCTCTGAGGGATGCACACACTCTTTTCCTGTATTATCCAAAGATCTGAAATGCCTTAAAAATAGCTAATGTCAAAATAACACAGGTTTCTACAAGGACATGGCAGAAAAAAAAGAAACAAGTATTTCCCTTTCACTTGGATTTTTAAGGGTTGCATCAGGACAGATCCACCTTCCTTCAATGAAGCATTTTTCAATCCACAATGTTTGCAACTAGGTCAGCTTTATCCCAACCTGTCTTCCAACTCTTAAAGAATTTTGTTATAAATATAAATGAGGAATAATATAAATGTAATATAATGTAAATGATTAAGAATATAAATAAGGAATAATGTAAATATAATGCAACGTATTAAGAATTTTTCAGTAAGCGAAGGTGTATAGGTAGTTCTTGATATACAAACATTCATTTAATGACTATTCAAAGTTACAACAGCAGTGAAAAAAAGTGTCTCACAATCGTTTTCTCACTTACGATCACTGCAGCACCCCCATGGTCACATGGTCAAAATTCAGAAGCTTGGCAACTGGCATGTACTTATGAGGGTTGCAGTGTCCCGGGGGTCATGTGATTACCTTTTGTGAGTCTTTGACAAGGAAAGCCAATTGGGAAACCAGATTCATTTACTAACTTAACAACTGAAGTGATTCACTCAACAAATGTGGTAGCACAAGTCATAAAATGGAGCAAAACTTGTCTTGCTTAACAATGGGAATTTTGGGCTCAATTGTGGTTGTAAGTTGAGGACTATCTGTAGTGTTAAGGTACCAATCTAGGAGCAAGGAGATCCAAGTTCTAGTCCTCCTATAGACAGGGAAGTAAGCTGGGCGAGCCACACCCCCTTAGAATCAGGTTCTACAACAAGCCAACTAGAAAGCAAAAATCCTTCTTAAATTATGCACTGATGGTTTTTGTTGTGTGCAAGCTAAACACAAAAAGAAAAAGGAAAAAAAATCAGAAAACCAGGGCAAAACCTAGAATAACTATATTTCAGGAAATGAAGCTATTCAACAAGATACCACTATTACTAAATGCAGTTAATTTGTAATAACACATCCTATATCCTATTTAGCTTTCTAAGCTGGAACACACAGAGCAATTTTGATCATGGCTTTATTGCAGTCTCTCTATTCAATTTATATGAATCCTGTTACGTTTGCATTACACAACCAATTCTACACGCATAGCTCCCAATTATAATCTGCCCCAATTGATCTTCTAGAGTTTAAAGTGAAGATGCACAACCTTCCTTCCAAGAATTAGCAGCTGGCTGGCTGTTTCACAACTGCAAGGGGAAAAAACACCTTGGGAACCCACTGAAGGATTCCAGGAAACTTGCTGAATACTGCAGTTTACATCCTTTAGAGATACATGAAATCTGCAAAGTCAGCAGGCCTTGAATTATGCAGTGTCAAAGTGACACAGATATGGCCCCATTATGACACCAAACAGCACTGGTAATGGAAATAGAAGTTTTGTTTCTCAAAATACATAGATGCAAAGCAAAAGCCACACATTCTTCACTAGGAAACTTAACTAACTTAATGTGTTAGGATGCAATTTAGTTAGTTTGGCTCTTGCACCAATATGGAATTCAGACAGAAGACAAAAACAAAACAGCAATTAACAGAGAGAGGTCAGGATACAGTGATTGTTCCATATAAAAGCAACTGAACATCAAGCAAAATTCAAGAACCATACTTCAGTCAGCCTATCTTTCCCCTACTCCGGTGGTGGCGAACCTGTGGCATGCAGAGCCCTCTCTGTGGGCACATGCACTGCCCAGCTGGTCTTTGGGTCTCTGCCATGCATGCGTGGGGCGTGCACATGCATGTGCCTAAGCCTTGCAGTTTGGTGGCATGCATGCACTTCGGGCACTCAGTGTCAAAAAGTTCGCCATCACTATTCTACTCATACAACAACATATGAAAACCTCTATTTTTCAATTTATATGAAGCTTCTTACTCTTTTCTCATTTTAAAATGCAAAAAAATGTTACTCCACACTACTTTTGAAGAAAGCTAACCAAAGGAGATAACGTGACTCTTTCCTAAATGAAGAACAGTATCACTGCCACGCAGTACTGGGGACAATGCGAGATTAAGTTCTCCATTTGCACCCGAAAAACTGATAGGTTAGTGCCCCTCCTCAAGCATAGAAGCTTCTGCTGCAAATATATATTTCTGAAAAATAATTAATTGCTCCAATATCTATTAGATATTAATTCTAAAAAGAGGGGAATGGGCAGGATAAATCCACTTAGCCTTCAATATAGCAAGATATTCTTTAGTCAAGCTTGATTCCTGGTGAGCACGTCTCTGTAATTTTCTTAGCAGTAATAGGGCAAAGGTTTGGTTTGCCATTGCTTTCTTCCCAGATTTTTTTTTTTTTTGGCTTTCCGACCTAGCCCACAGCCTACGATCTCTTGGTCTCCATTCCAAGTATGAAGTAAGCACAGTTTTGTTTACACTTCTGCAGCCAAAAATTCTACAGTTTGACAAAACCATATAAATCTTCCCTCCCTTCCTTTTTTCAGGTGAGTCAAGGTAGCCTGGATGTTGCCAAACACAAAATGTTCAGGCCCTTATAGTTTTAGTGTTTAGAAAAAGATTGCAGATAATCCCTTATGATCATGCAATGTATTAACTTTTCTGTAAGAAATATCTTCTCTCTTTAAAATTCAGTAATCAAGTCCTCATAACGGGGATGCCAACACAGAAGAGCTAGAGTTACCTGTGGGCTTCTAATATATGATATAATATCCTGAAAAATTTGCTGAAGAATTTTAAATTTTAATAGGACAAATGAAGAAAATTAAATATATACAAAGTAATCTTTAACTTTAGTTGATTACTTAAAATTGATATTGAAACAAATTTAGGGTTTTTCCTGCCTTGCCAGTTTGTTTGAGCATCACTTACTTTCTTAATTCAACCACTGCTACTAGTTCTTGGTAGTATTGGGTCGTGGTGGTGCAGTGGTTAGAATGCAGTACTGCAGGCTACTTCTGCTCACTGCCAGCAGTTTGGCAGTTCGAATCTCACCAGGCTCAAGGTTGACTCCATCCTTCCGAGGTGGGTAAAATAAGGATCCAGATTATTGGGGTCAATATGCTGACTCTGTAAACTGCTTAGAGAGAGCTGTAAAGCACTATGAAGTAGTATATAAGTTAAATGTTAAGTGCTATTACTATTTGGTCTGAAAAAAGTTGTGTGGTTTTTGTTTTGAAAAATGTTCACTTCTAATGTATTTCATCTGCCATAACAAACAAAAAAATGCTCATAACTCATCAACATGCTATCCCTTATTATTCACATATTCCACTAAAAGATTTGTTCAAAAAGCACTAGTTGTATTATCAATAAATTGTCTAATAGCACAGATCAAGAAAGCACATCTGTTGTAAGTGAGGAAACAGCCCCAATTGTTTATCAGTACTCAGGCTGGTAACTAAGAAAGAAAAACTACTAAGCAATTATGTTAATAGTAGGACTAAATTTGGTAATTGTTTTTACAAACTATCCAGGAACTGCATACATTGACTCTAAATTCCATGGAGGAAAAAGAAGAATTTGAATCTGATAAACTTTATAACCTTCAATGAAATATGACTTGTAGTGGAGTAAGCCAACTATCATGGATCACTGCTATGCAGATTGCATTTCATTACTGCTGAATATGGGTTCCTAATATTGTTGTTGTTAGTTGCATAGGTTGAATAGCTGCTTTACTCAGAATTATTCTAAAATATGTTCTCCCAAAGAGCTTGGATTCCACAGTCTTTCAAGAAACCACCTATTTCTATTTTCTTGTTGCTGTTAGTTGAGAAGTCGTGTCTGACCCATCGCGACCCCATGGACGTTCCTCCAGGCCTTCCTCTCCTCTACCATCCTCTGGAGTCCATTTAAGCTCATACCTACTGCTTTGGTGACTCCATCCAGCCACCTCATTCTCTGTCATCCCATTCTTCTTTTGCCCTCAATCTTTCCCAGCATCAGGCTCTTCTCCAATGAATCCTTCCTTCTCATTAGGTGGCCAATGTATTTTGAGTTTTATCTTCAGGATCTGGCCTTCTAAAGAGCAGTCAGGGTTGATCTCCTCTAAGACTGACCGGTTTGATTGCCTGGCAGTCCAAGGGACTCACAGGAGTCTTCTTCAGCACCATAGTTCAAAGTTCATAGTTCAAAGGCCTCAATTCTTTGGCAGTTAGCCTTTCTTATGGTCCAACTTTCACAACCATACATTCCTAATATAGCATTCCCCGAAATCCCTGGGCAGGGACAATGAAGAAATTAAGATTATCGGAGACACCCATACAACTTTAAGAAACATTGCCCCACACAAGGTTGTAATGAGTCTCTGCTAAGATTAAGACTCTAGGGATCATTGGGAACACTGCTTCTATACCAACCTCCTGCTACACGGTGACCTCCCTTACCAGAGCTCCTTGAGCCTCTATCAGAATTGATGTTGAAATTACCCAAATTAATACTACTACAAAATGTTAAATGCTTCTTCTGGACATGAAAGCTCATGATTACTCTGACAACTATGGATCTGATAAAATTTGTTATGGGATCAAGTTACAGAAAGGTTCAGTAGTTATTGTAAAGCTTTTATTTCACAGCATTACCTAGAACTGGAGACGTCAACATCATTTCTTGCAAATCACTCCATGTTTATATTAACTTTTCTATAACCATTTCCTGCTATTGGACCAGTCCGTACCAGGAATTTAATGGAGTATTGGGATTTCAAAAGGAAGTTTGGGATTATTTTTGAGGCTTTGATGTTCATTACTGAACATCATGGATATTCATCTAAGGTATTCATCATTGTTTTGAGGGGATAGACATATCCTTGGACTGAATTGCACCTTTGTAGCCTGTGTCCCTAGATCAGGGGTCTCCAATCTTAGTAATTTTAAGACTCGTGGACTTCAACTCCCAGAATTCTCAGCCAGCCATGATGCTGAAGAATTCTTGGAGTTGTAGTCCACATGTATTAAAAGGACCATGTTTGACAACCCTGCCTTAGATAGCTGAAAGATCCTTGATCCTCTGAGGAGCAAAAGTAAAGGCAGAAAAGGAACCTGCTGGAGAAACACAAGGAGTGAATCTAATCAACACAGGCAAGATCCTTTCTTAAGAATTATCTTGTGACAGTAAGAGGAGCAAAACACAATTCTTCCCCTCCCATTATATATGGCGACAGATCTTCAGTGGCCTTGTTCGGGTTAACCCAATCCTTCCTGGGAAAGAAGAGATCTCTGTGAAATGCTTCCTTGACTGAAGAAAGTTTACTTCCAGCTTCCAAAGAGGCCATGATCCAACCCTTCTCAAGAAATCTTTCCAGTTCTAACAATACTGTATATTTTCATTTGGTTTCTACCCTTCTTTTTTTGGGGAAAGTTTGTTCAGAAGATGGCTGACCTGAAGCTTCAGAGAATTCTGGAAGAAATGGTTATCTATATCCCTTCCAGTCAGGCTTTATACTTGGATAAGTACAATACGACTTTCTTGAACTCTTGGTGCTTTTGGTGCCATTGATACACTGGCTTTGAGTTTTAACAATGGGAAGTGCAGCATTTTGTTGGTTCTCCTCCTTCCTCCACAATCATTTCCAGTTAGTGTTGAAAGGGAAGAAAAGATCTAACACAAGGGCCTTGCTTTATGGGATATCCCACCTAGGATTCTAGTCTTACTCTGGTCTTATTTAACTTCTACATGAGACTGATGGACAAGGTCATTACAGAATATCCAATTATCTATCTCCACACTAGTCCAACCAAGAAATGCCATCAAGATTCTTTCTTGTGTCTGGAGCTGTAGAGTCTGGATAGAGAAAAACAGGTTTTGGCTCAATCTAGCAAAACAGAGTGGCTGTGAGTTTTGGGTTCATTGACTCTGAAAATTCTACATGTTTGGTCCTTGAAAAGGTCATACTCCCCTAAATATAATTGATACACACTTTGGCAATCCTTTTGGACTCTCAGATCCTGCTGGAAGAAGTGGCAGACACGAGAACCTTTGTATAAATCCATCTTGGGCATCAACTGTATCTCAACCAGGAGAACCTAACACTCACTCACTTCATACACCTCTAAATTGTTGCAATATACATTATATGGGGCTGTCCCAGAAGCTTTAGAAAATTACTCAGAAATGGAAATTGATTCAGAGTATAGTGGAGCTAAAACATACGGATCCATGAAAAACCATTATTTCACAAGTTGCATGGTTCCCTGTAAGTTTCTGGGGTGTGATTCAAGGTTTGTGACTTGTATGTCTCCAATTATCTATGCTTATCCCATGAGAATCAGTAGACTAGGCATGCTTCAAGTCCCTTCCATGAAACATCATCATCTAGTGGGATTCAGGACCATTCTCTGTTGCAATGCCTGCACCACGGAACATCATTCTCCATGTGGTTTGGATGACCCCAATCTTTCTATCCTTTCCCAAAGTCCTAAAAACCTGCAAATGAGCTATGTATTGACTGGCCTGAGTTGTTCCTGTTATTATAATTATTCCCATTATACTATTTTCCTGTTCTTTCAAGTTCCAAAATCGTATTTTATCTTGTGCCGAGTTCATTTTCATATTTCTTCAAATCGTAAATCACCAAGTTTGTTCTTGCAAATTGAGTGGACATATAAAGCTAATAAAACAGGAAGTACAAAGAGTATTTCACTACTGTCCTAAGTACCTGTTAGCCTGTGCATAGAACACACATTAACAACTCTGTGAACACAGCTTTGGCACATTTTACACATTTTGCATTTGTAGACCTTTTTTTGTTTTTTATTTGAAGGTTGTAAATTTCAAATCACTATAAACTTCCCCTTCCTTTTTACATCAAAAATTAAGTAGTCTACAGCAAACAGCAAGACCTCATACTTTGTTTGATTTCTATGTAAAGCTATCTTCATCTTTAATTTATTAGGGGACAATTTTAATTTCATGTAACATGTCCTTCTTCAGTTTAAAAACACTGCTTCTGCTTTCATAGGGTCACCGCAGAAAACACCATTTGTATAGCTTTCTGCTCCTCTAAAGTTATCTGAATGGAAAAGGAGGGAATGGAAGACTGCCTTACAAGATAATTTGTAAATCAAATAAACAATTATTTTGTTTTGATATTACAGTGAATATACTCAGGAAAAATATTTATACCATATCATCCAGGTCAGCTGTTAAGCTGAAAATGCAAATTATAATTTATAAACATACTATACAATTATAATTCCGGGTAAGGGATAAAAGGGCAAGAAAAATTATGTACCATATACATGCAGGGGGGAGGGAAGGAAAACATTTTTGTTTAGAAAATGACTAATGGTGACTAATGAGATACAAAATAATGTAAAAATAGGGGGTGGGGAGACTAAGTCATGTAACCAAATTGTCTGAGATAAGTATCAGAACAGATTACTTTCAAGCAACCAGGAGTGCTTTCCAAAAACCAAGTATGCTCATAATCATTTACTTAAAGGGTTCTTTAAAAAAGCTAAACAAATACATGAAAATGTCAAGGATTTCCAGGCAGGCAAGTGAGGAGGGCAGCAAAAGGTTTTGTGGTTGGTTGTTGAAGTATGGAAATCTTTCCCTAGAAAAACAGCAGAGGGCTGTCTGCTTACATTTTCAGTATTAAACAGCTTAAGAGAGAGGCCTGTGTTTCATGCTGACCAAAATGACAAATCACCTTTTCTGCATCCAATGTAAATAGAAAGGCTACCAACTTTTACAGTGAGACTATATTTACAAGGGTCTATAATAATTTGGTGTAAAATGCCCATGTTCCAAAGTCTTGGGTGTCCAAAATAATCAAAAACTAATTGATTGGCCATATCTAAGTCAAAGCAATTTTTTTAACTTTCTAATTCATTTTATATTGTGCCCCTAAATAGTATTCTTATTTTTTTTCAATTATTATATCTTTGAAAAAGAGATTTTAATATTGTGACCTTACAAGTTTCTGTACCCCACCTCCTTGTATCATAGACACCCACATTATTATAGCTCTGAATGTTGTTTCTAGCACAAAGTATCCTAATTATCAGCAGCTTAATTCTTTTCCCCCTTTGTCATGGTTCTCCCAAAGATGTCATGCAGCTTCCTGGCAAGATTCCTGTGCATTTGACAGCAGTGGGATCAGAAAGTCCCCCTCCCCCATCCATTTTCAGATATCTCTTCTAAGATACACAGGAACTGCTCAATAGGAGCGATTCATCCCGCATCCTGCCTTTCATTTAATCCGTCCTGGTTGCAAATTCTGCCTTGCTCCATCCCTCTTCACCGTCCCAATACTACAATTCCTTGGGAGCTCATGCCCTCAAAAAGTAGTCCAGGATGAAAAATGTTTCCTGATCTCATTTCCTTGACTATCAAAACAAATCAAACATCCTTCCCCCACCCACCACCCCATTCGCACAGACCCAGCTTGTCCCTTCTCTGGATTTAGACGCATCAGGTTCCCAACGCAGGACTTCGGTCCCTAAACCGTCCACGATTCAGCCCGGGTTTGCCCTCTTTCAGGCCCAGACTTTGCCCTTTCGCTTCTTCCCTTTGCCCCTGCCTGGCCTGAAACCCAGATTGCGCCCAATCCAAGCCCGTGCCCACGTCTTGCAGAGCTTCAGGCCTTTTTCCCCTAGTCGGTGGGAACGACAAACTGGCGTGTCTCCCCATTCCCTTCCTGCGATCTCCTCCTAAAAAACACCCGACCGCCTGTTTCAGGGACCCCCCCCCCCTCGATCGCCACCCCTTCCCCTTCCCCTTCGTCCACCCCAAGCGCTCGCCGCCGCGCAAAGGAGGCTCCCCGGTGCCCATCGGCGTTAGGCAGGGACGGCTATTACCAGGGAGGATCTGCAAGTGGTTTCCCATGTTGTTATCCTGTTCTCCGCCTCCTTCATCTGCGGCCATCGCTGTTTACCCGGAGAGGAGTCTGGGAAGGCGCCGTCGGCAGGGGCGGAGGCGGCGGCGGAGGCGGAGGAGGAGGAGGAGGAGGAGGAGGCGGCCCCTGGGAGAATTGCTCCGCGGCTGCCCCCAGCGGCTCGTCTCAACCGAGAGCTTCCCGAGAAGGTACAGCATCTCCCAAGAATGGAAACAGCGGCCACGTCTGAGACAGAAGGCGCGCCGGAGGTTTGACCGCTCCGCTTCCACATGTCCTTGTTTGGATTGGAAAAAGGAGCAGGCGAGGAGGTTCTTCCTTCTTGCTAGTCAGTGGGCGCAGTCTCATAAAAGCCTTCAAGCAGCCGCTCGTGGGTTGCTTCTCACGGGTGTTTAAGCCCCTGGAAATGGAAAGCAAGCAGATTATTCTCTATATTTCTACCTGGGAGGCCTGGGGCGGTGGGTGGGAGGAGGAGGGCTGTAGCCCTTCCCACTTTTTACTCGAAAATATTGGGGTAAGAAAAAGTGAAAAGTATCCAGGCTTCAAAAGTTTGACTGATTCTGCTTATGATTGATTGATTGATGTATGCTTCATTTTTAAAGGGTCATCTCCATGGGATAAACTGTTTAGAATAACAGAGTTGGAAGGGAGGTCTTCTAGTCTAACCCCCTGGTTTAATACAGTTTATTAAAAGCTTTATTTTGTAGTTTAAAAAGTCTAGATTTTTAAACACTAGCCAAGATTAAATTACAGAGTCTGTAGTGTTTAGGAGGCTGGGATGCAAACGGGTGAAGGCCAGAAAAATGGATGTTGAATCTGTGGAAGCAGCAGAATTGGAGAGAGAGTGTGTTAGACCAGGAAGTTTGTATAATGGGAAATTTTGTGTGAGGTCGCCTTCCCTCCAGAGGGAAACAGGGCATTATGAAGGAATGGTCCAATCTTTTGCAAGAGGCATAGACATAGGAAGGGAAGCGGGGTAATTGCAAATCTGGCCCTACTGTCCTGCACATTTTGATTCCTCCGCAGATACTTCTGTGCTGGGTGCCATTTTGATTACCGATATCATGGGAGGGGAAAAGCTGGCTCTATCAGCTAAAAACACAGCCCGGGGTCAGTGGTCCAGACTCTCATCTTGATTGGATTGCTGCAATGCACTCTACAAAATGGCCTGAACACTGCAACAGATACAATGTGCACTTGCCCAGTTATTATTAAGCGACTACATTGCTCGCAGCTTGGCAGGCCAATGTTGCTACTAGTCTACAAATCCCTAGTGGTTTAGAACTCAAAAGGTCCCTCTACCCAAATTACCCAATACATGTAATAAGTATAATTGGTGACATTCTGCTTACGTTCTGTAGGAAGTTAGCACTCATTCCTCTCCTAGAAAAATGAAATGTTTTAGGACATTAAAAAAAAACAGAATATTATATTTCCCTGGATGAGAAAAGGAGAAATGTTTTAAAGACAAAGCAGCTCTCTGCTAGAAAAATGAAATATTTTTGGAAATATTAAAAAGGCAGAATATCATATTTCCCTGGATGAGAAAAGAAACATGTTTGAAAGACAAAGCAGCTCCCTGTACCTTCCTCCCCCCCCCCGCCCACCTGTGTCAATGGGCCATTAAGCCTTGAGCCAGCCTATTCTACACAACAAAGATCTTTCCTTTTTTCCCAGCATCTCAAGCCATGTGGTCCTGTCCACCATTAAACCATCTTTCCAAGCAGTCTCCATGTTTCCAGCATCTTTTCCCCCACTTGGAACTGAACCCAGATGGACATTATTAAATACTTGGAGTAATGACTGAGGCGAGGCAGCGGTTTAAACCAACCGTTTATTAGCAACTGAACAACAACTTCAGAA